TGGTGGTGATTGTGGTGTACCATATGAATAGGAAAATGCTGATGATGATGCAGAATTAGCAGATGAACGTGAAAGATCATGAGGCATATTTGAATTTGTTTGATAATGATTTATATGGGAATGAGAACGATGATGGTTATTTAAAGTTTGTTGATGATCATAATCATTATTTTTATTTGAAGAAAAACGTTTTGTTATTGTTTGTGATACTTTTGATTTTTTACCACCAAAACATACTGCCATAAAGATTAAAACAAATAAAAATAATAATCACCGGTTTAGCAAATGCTAGAAGATTTTTAAAAAAAAAAAGAAAGAGTTAAAAGAAATCTCTCTCTCGAAAAACAAAAATGATACTTACGGAAATCGGTCTGAAATACACGTTATATGTAATTCATGATCATATGAGAACATAAAAGGAAGATATATAGAAATACGGTCGACGACGTAACTAGTCGCTAAAAAAAGAAAACATGATAAATGTTGTTTCTTTCTTCTCAAATAAATGACTCACTCGAACGATATAATCAAGATTCGTATTCTTTTCGACGTACTTGATGAAATGATAGAAATATTGTACGATAATGTTGTTTTTTTAATGTAATGTTGTAAAAGTATATTATTAATAATAAATCTAGAAAACAGAAAACGAAAAAAAAAAACTCTTACTCATCGTTCTGTTCTGTTTTCTTTCTTCCGTGGGTTGGTAATCATAACGAAACAATTTTTTATTTCAAATGACACAAAAAAAAACAACTATAACAAATCATTCCTGATTACTTGAATTTTGCTTCTTTTTTTTTTTTTATTGCGCAACACCAACTTGCGCAGCTCGTATAACACGATCATGAAGACGATAACCTGTTTTCATAACTTGTATAATTGTTCCACTTGATTTTTCAGGAATTTTAGCTTGAAATAAAGCATCATGAAAATTCGGATCAAATTTATCACCTTCATTTGGTTTTATTTGTACAAGACCATTTTTAGAAAAAATTTTTTGCATTCTTTCTTCAGTCATTACAAGTCCTTGATGAAGATTATGAAAATCTTTTGTTAAAGTTGTTATATCTGTTGATACTTGTTTTGGTGTATTGACTAATGCTAGATTAAGTATATCAGCGACTTCAAGTAAATCTTTACAAAAACCTTGTATACCAAAGGTTTTTGCATCATTTACAAGTTTATTAAAACGTACTCGAGTATTTTCAGTTTCAGCTAATGCACGTTTGTAACGATCCTAAAATAGAGAAAAGATATTTGAAATAAATTATCAACAATAATGATTTCGTGATATGTCTATGAAAAGAATAATTCGTCAGAGAAGAAAGATGATTATGAAGAACTAGATATTTATTTTAAATCAAATAGTGTTTTTTGTTAACAACTATAAAAAAAGTTTAAATCAGAGGTAAAACCAATATCGATCTACCTCGGTAACCTTGAAATTTTTTCTAGCCTATATCAAAATAACCGCGTATGATTAAAAAGAAAAATTAGAACAGACGATTTAGTCACGTGCTGAGACAGATTCTATATCTGTCAGACATTAATTAACTATTATGATCGATGCCGATCACCAGAAATCTCGATTAATATCATTTATGCCATACACACTTACAACTCAAATGTATAATTAAGGTTAAGTGTAGATAGACGCATATTCAAAACATTATATTACTAATGAAGATGTATCTTTAGGCTTGAAATCTCTGATTCAAACTTGTATATATTTTGTTAAAACCTTGATAATGAAATAAAGATACGTAAGAGACTCAAATGTGTTAGCAACTAATGTATATATATATATCCCATAATACAAAAGAACACACATCTTCAATGTTCTGTTTAATCTTAAAATAAATAACAAAAAATTATATAATATCACAAAACTAAATCTTCAACATTCGTATAATAATAATAATAATAAAAAAATAAAATTATTCTCATTTCGATTTTTACCAAATATCGAATTGCTTTTATTGTGATCTATTGTCCTTGTAGAGAACAAAAAATCGAATACAATACATTATTCGAATATTAATCTTTTAGAAATTTCTATTTAATAATTTCATGAATAATTTTACCTTAAATTCATTAATTTCTTCATTTAATTTTGTATTTTGTTCAAGAAGTTGTTTTACATCAACATCCGATTTTTGTTCACTTTGAGATTGAGTCGCTGCGGTTTGATTTGATGAAGATGGTGATGCTGTTGTTGTTGTCGTTTCATTTTGTTTTTGTTCTTGCGAAGATGTATTCGTAGATGAATATCTAAACTAACATATATAAATTAGAAAATAAATGAAACAAATTTAAATTAATCATTAAACAACTACCTAAATACTGATGATAAACGTGATGCATTCATAAATGTTGATCGAGAAAAAACACTAGTACGACTAAGTACTTGCCGTACAAATAGATAATTTGATAGAAGACTCATTTCTTCAGTTGATAATGAATATAAAAAAAAAGAAGAAAATATCTAAAATAGAAAAAACGATCTTATATTAGTAATACAATTCGATTTTAAATAAACAACCGGAAAAAAAAAAGAAAACAACACCAGATGATCAATGGTAAATTATGGAGAACATTACATGCTTATACATTATTCGAAAGATGGCATTAATTGATTATTCATAAGAAACAAAAAAAAAAACTAAATTTATATTTTAAATAGTCATGAAATATTAAAGTTTCTTTTATTGTTTTTTTGACAAAAAAATTTTGATTATTCTATGGATAAAGATTAAAGTTCAAAAATTGCAAAAGTGAAATACAAATTCTTCGAATGAATATGAATCTTTAAAATATTATTATATGATGAGTTTTCTGAATCGACAAAACAAACTGTCAAACACATTTTGAAGAAAGCATAAAAAAGTCGATTGTGACATATAAAACCATTAGTTGCTTGTTGTTTTTTTTTTTCATTCTGAAGGTTTTTCTTTCATAAGTGTTTGAAAGTTGTTTTTTTTAAACTAGACACAATAAAAATTACATCTCAAAAGAGAACATTCGTTTTCTTTTGTTTCTCTTTTCCATTATCTTTCCACAAGTATGCCATTTTTAATCATCACTACTATAATTTGTTCTATGATAATATCGAATTCATACGGTTTATCAAAAGGCTTAAATTTGCACCGTCAAAAAGATTTTATTTTCATCATGCATTGTATCGTGTTAGTTTATTATTCAAAAAAAGAAAAATAATACAAGGTAAACAAAGAATTTCATATAAACTTTGTAATAGAAACATGAAAGCAACAATTTTTTTGCTTGTAGATTAGCCAAATTTCTTTTTTTTTGTTTTACTTTTATAAAAAGGAAATCGTCTCTCATGCAAATATACTCATGCATAAATATAAATCTTTATAGATATATTTATATCAACTCATTTAACTACATTAATCATTCGTCATCAGTATCGAGAAGTGTGCCGTCAACAATAACAACAACAATAAAACGAGACTTGCATAAGACAAACACGATAAGATTGTTATATGAACGAGAAAATAAAATTGGAGAAAACAGGTAATCGAGCAGTCCACATGAGAGTAAAGTGTTAGGTTTTTTTTTCTTTATGCTCGCTCACACTCGGTTTTTCTTCCATGTCTATCTGTGTTTCTGCCGATCGTTAGACCATTAATTGTTTCACATCGTTCAATTTTATAGCAGTCAGTCAACTACTATAAACATTATTTTCTTGTCGTATTCAACTACAATAAACTATAACTATTCTCTTCCGTTTATTTATTGCATTTCTCAATATTTTCCAATAATAGTCAGGAAAGAAAAAAGTAGAAAAAAGAAAAAGAAAGAGACGATCTACACAGAAGAATATATATAATAGAAAAAGTTGTTATATATTTACATTCTAATAGTACAAGTACAAATGACATATAAAATTGATTTTCGATCGAAATGTTTCTTTTTCTTAATACTTTTCTTCAACAAATTTCAATTCTATGTGACACTTTAGTTTCTATTATTATCATCAATAAATTTTTTTCGAATGTCAATGAAAAGAAACAATATTCTATTTTGAGACTTATTAGCCATTCTTTTTTCGAAATACTCATGGGAACTAAAGGTTCGTTTAAGTATTTTGTTTTTTTTTTTACAACTTTATTTTTCTATTCAACGATTCATTTTTATTTATATTTATTTTAGGATCGTCTATGCCATCTACACCTGATATTTATGATCCATTTGATTCTTTAAGACGAAAGAATTTTTCTGATGATGAATATGAAAATTGTTTTAGATATTTTGATTTTCAGAAGTAATATTACAAGTTCTATATGAAAGAAAATAAGAATTTTTCTTTTTTAGACAAGGTTTTTGGACTCGTGAAGATTTTTGTCGTTTTCTCAATGCACTCTTTTCTAATGAAAAAAGAAAACCCTATCCGATATTAAGTGAACAAATTGATCAATATTTTCATGAAACTGATTTTAATCAAGATAAAATAATTGATTTCAATGAATTTCTACAAGCATGGAAAAAACCAATTAAATGTGTAACTAAATAATAATATTATTTCATCTTGTCTAGATTTTTCTTTTTCATAGGCTGTAAGACCTGTTAGTGCACTTGTTATTGTCGATGTTCAAAATGATTTTATTTCTGGATCATTAGCTCTTCACTCTTGTCCTGCTAATCATGAAGGTTTATTTATATTAAAATTGTCCTATTGTTTTTGTTTTTTTTTTATAATGATTTCTTTCATTTAGGAGAAGAAGTTGTCCCTATTATCAATCAAGTTATTCGTAATGTTAATTTTGATGTTATTGCATATACATATGATTGGCATCCATCAAATCATATATCATTTTATGAAAATCGTCACTTAAGAAAAATATCATCTAAAAGTCGTGTATGTAAAAAAAAAAAAGAAATTTTTACAAATAAAATTTTTATTATTATTCAGGTTAGTGCTGCTGCAGCACGTGTACATGATAAAGTTATCTTTGCTGGATCTTCTAATTTAACAGATACAATAGAACAAATTCTTTGGCCAGCACATTGTGTTCAAAATACACCGGGTGCCGATTTACATCGAGATTTAATTCGAATACAAAATGCTGTACATGTCTATAAAGGAACAAATCCTGAATTAGATTCTTATTCAGCATTTTGGGATAATATGAAATTAAGTAAAACAAGTCTTGATGATCAACTTAAAGAACGTTTTGTAACTGATGTTTATGTTGTTGGTTTAGCTACAGATGTTT